TAGGAAGAGGCAGTAATTTCAAAATCAGTAAGTAGCCTAGAGACTACAGAGAAGCCACCCAGAGACGGAATGAGGCTTTTCTCAAGTTCATCCATTTCAGCATTTACTTCTCTCCAGTTTCCTCCCCCCATATGCAGGACAGGCAGGAATCTCAGGCACCCTCCCAACAAGGGATGCCAATGTTAAAAGAGCAGCGTTTTCCACAGGTGATGAGAGGGGAGTGGGGAAGGAGGAAAGCCAACATTTCCTCCTACCTAGGCGCCCAGGCCTCCAGCCCAGCACCCGGAGTCTGGACGCATGGCAGCATCCCAACGGAGGAGCACCACAAGCCCCACCCTCTGGCTGCTGACACTCGATTTAGGTTCCAAGTTTCTCACAGCAGCCGTGAGGGGTGCCTCCTGCCTTTGGTACCATAAGTACCAAATCTGCAGCTGATTCACTATTTACAAATAAATAAATAGAGCATATTTAGGATTATCCCTATAATATCACCCCCAGTCACTGCTTCTAGGCAGACCCTGAGTGGGAAACGAGAGGTGGAGATTACAGTTCACTTCAGCAAACCTAACTCTGCTACACCTACAGAAATCAACCACTACAGACCCTTTAAATAATAATGCTTAATACTTTAGATTTGCCATATTTATTTATTCTTCCTGGAAAAATGACAATTTCCTGAAATCTCTAAGTGGCTAGTTTTATGACCCCTGTGCTTGTAAAACACTTTCATGTTTTACACATGTACACTACTAAAATCAATTTTATTTCCCCACCAAGTGCTTTGAATTTTGTAAAATAAATATATGTGTGTTACATGTTCTGGATATACACATACACACATATGTACGTGAGTATATACACAAAGAAATGCACTGAGCGTGGGAATGTCATTCTTCAGAAATGTTTTGGTGGGGAAAAAACATAAGAATTACCTATCCACAGGGAGCCCACCAACAAGTATACCCAAGTATCAATACTTGAACCACAAAAGATACAAATATAGGGGAGACTATGCCAGAAGTACGTGCGAGAGGTCTCCAGAAGACAGGCAACCAGCCACGGCTCTCTTAAAGAGAAGCTCACAAACTAGCTCCCTGAATTCATCAAGATATTAATGGCCTTTTGATTACCAGCCTCTGGTTAACTTACTTAAAAACCAAAGAGGAAACCCTCGGTGTTCCAGGCTTAAGGTGGATGAGCTCCCCAGAAGGGTGGAGATCAAACACGTGATGCAGAACTGCCCCCTCCCCCTTCAAGGTTCTGTCTTAGCCTCAGGGAGAAACCTGAGGATACATGATACTTCCGTACTTCAGATATGTGAAACCTAAAATATTTCTTTTAAAAAAATGGGGCTTCCCTGGTGGCGCAGTGGTTGAGAGTCCGCCTGCCCATGCACGGGACACGGGTTCGTGCCCCAGTCCGGGAGGATCCCACATGCCGTGGAGCGGCTGGGCCCATGAGCCATGGCCGCTGAGCCTGAGCGTCCGGAGGCTGTGCTCCGCAACGGGAGAGACCACAGCAGTGAGAGGCCTGCGTACCGCAAAAAAAAAAAAAAAAAAAAAAAAAAAAAAACTCAGGGGAGGGTGGGGCAAATGGGTGAAAATGGTCAAAAGGAACAAACGTCCAGTTATAGAATAAATAAGCCATGGGAATGCAATGTTTAAAAAAAAAAAGAATTCAGCATACTAAAAATATTAATCCTAGGGAAGGTGATAAAGTAGAATTACCATCATCATTTATAAAGGTACGTTAATTGTAGTTTGGGATTATTTTGGTAGAGGGATGCAGGGAAAAGGACAGAAACAAAAAACAAACAAAAAAACAAAAAACAAAACCAAAACCTATACCTACAGGTTAGAGGAAGAGAAGATTCATCCATTAGAAAGAAGTTGGTGTCAAAGAGCAAAACGCTGAAATTCTAGTTTAGCCCAAATCCATAAGTGTTGTACAAAGTAGGTAAGCAACTGTATTGCTGAATATTGAGGAGCTTGTTGTACTGAAACAAGGGAGCATATTTACTGCTGCTTAAATACCCTAAACTCACATGACTAGAAGGACTCTCAAGACATTACTTAACCCCTGTTTCTGTATCCAAGCAAGAGAGGAACCAAGTTACTCCACACAGACAACTGTCCACCCATTCTTACAGATCTATTGACTAGGCAGGACTTGATCCTGGCTGAGCAGAGCAGGGACCGACCCAGAACCTCTGTGACGGCCCAAGCACACGCCCACACAGGTGATGAGAAATCATGGGTCTGTGGGAAACTGACAGAAGGTTCTGAACAGGTCTGGGAGAAGCTAGAGGTCAGTACTCTGGAGCTTGCCCTGGGAGGCAAAGTTCAGAGAACAAAGTATAAAGAAAAAGGAATCAGCCGTTTTAACTCTGGCAGAGTTTTGTCATTAACAATGAGAATTTCAACTGGGAGTTTACAGAATTTATCAAAATGAGTCTATTTACCAATCACCAGCCCTGAGGACATCATGACATTATAGAGCAATTATCCCACTAATGTGGCCAGAGTTGCTGGGTTGGTTCTTTTGGGAGCTGAGGAGGATTGAAGGGGTAAGAGAAGGTAAGTGCAGTGTCCCTATGAGGCTGGAATCAAGACCAGGGGATGGCTATGAACACAAATGTGTCAGTTAGAGACCACAAGACCATACTTATCAACTCAAAATCACAAGCCAGTTTTTATAGCCCAGAGAAGACAGATATGAAAATCAGGCCCTCCTTCCCTAACAAATAGAGCAAAACAATGATGCAGACACCCAAATACATCCATCGAACAATGAAACTTGCACTGTACTGACTAGTCAGTAGAGCCTCTTTTGTTGTAACTCACTTTTTTAATAAAGGGAAAAATTCTTCCAAAGTGCTCATCTAGTTCTGAAAACAAAGAACAAGCTTATTTGCCTTCAGCATCCCATGCTTAGCCTTTTTAGTGTAGAGAACAGGCAGCTTCCATTAAGGAATTTTGTGGAAAATATGCACCCCACTCAGTTAAAAACAAAACCAAAAGTAACTGAGCATGGTGCTCCCTCAACACTGGACTATCCTATTCCTCCAGACCTGGTTTCAAGTTTCACAAAAACCATCCCTAAGCACCCCCTACCCCCAGAGAACTCTTCCTTCTCTGAATAATGAGGGCTCTCTTATACTCTCAGCCAGGCAATTCTGCACCAAATTATACACAATTTTGTACTGTTTGCTAAAATTACATACAGCCTTGTGCTGTTTGCTAATTGTTTCGCATGTAACAAATGCATTTTCTTCCCCAAATAAGATATATAAATTACTTGGGAAGAAGGCTTAGCTTTATTCTTCAATTGTCTGTTCCCGAGCACCCAGGAGACAGCTAACACACACGGCCTGAGGAATCTCCCCTGGGAAGGTGTGACTTGGGCTGAGCGCCTCAGGGCTGTCTGTGGGTGGGCGCTCCCACCCCATCACTTCTCTGGCACCCCATGACTCTCTGCGGCCTGCTGCCAGTTCACAGCAGCTCATCCTCTACCCCCGACCTGCCACGCAAGCCGGCACTAGCCCCCGGAGGCTCCTCTGCCTGGTGCCTCCCCACTGCCACTCCCAAGAGGCAGACCTAGCTCGCAGGAGACCACACAGCTCGGCTGGGGCCCTCATTCAATCAGGCTGCCACACACGGCTGACCAAGAGCAATAAGGGCATGACTGAGAGACTGTGGGGGTTTAATATAAAAAAATTAATTAAAAAAAGAGGTGAAGGAGAAAGGGTCTACCTTTTAATAGGGCCCTAATTACACAACTCATAGGATCAACCCAAATGAGATGGGAGTTTATTTCAGGGTTTTTTTTAATTATTGTTTATATATATATATATATATATATATATATATATATATATATATATATACACAAATTGCTGCTATGTGTTTTCTTTCCTCTGAGCAATTATGCAGCAAGTACGTAAAGAGGGGAAAAAATATTAATTAAATATAAGGTAATTGTAGAGCTGGCCTTGAGAGACTGAGTCTGAACTCTGGATGATTGCAGGCTACTAGGGTTTGAAGACTGCTCGGGGCCTCCCAGAAAAGAAAGAAATAAAAATACAACCAACCAACAAGCAGATGCAGAGTACAGCAGGAGAAGACCAGTGCACAGAAACACTAGCAGAGCCAAGGGGCTGCAGGGTTCCAAGTACCCAGAAATCAGTGAGGCTGCCAATTGCCCAGGGCTCATTGCTTGAAAGAATGCCCAGAAGTTTATACAATCATGCCCCAAAAGATGGTCCAGCCACTCTTCTGGTGATCAGTAGTTAAATCCGTAGATTAAAATGTAAAAAGAGGGCTTCCCTGGTGGCGCAGTGGTTGAGAGTCCACCTGCTGATGCAGGGGACGTGGGTTCGTGCCCGGGTCCGGGAGGATCCCACATGCTGCAGAGCGGCTGGGCCCGTGACCCATGGCCGCTGAGCCTGCGTGTTCCGGAGCCTGTGCTCCACAACGGAGAGGCCACAACAGTGAGAGGCCCGCGTACCACAAAAAAAAAAAAAAAAAAAAATAGTATAAGCAGATAATGTTGGAAATGAGTATCACAAACCAAATTACTGACCAGGCAAAAATGGAACTCTCTCCCTTACCCATTCTTCAAAGGCCACCTGAAGTGCCCTCACTCTGAGGAGAATGGCTATTTCAGACAATCAAGCAGCTACTTGGTCAGGCCCAGCAACCTCGCTCCAGCTCAGCCTCCAAAGGTTTCAGGCATCCCACTAATTACCACTGATTCAAACAAGTAACACCTGGGGCAGATGCTTTCCATTCCAGAAAAGACCAGGCTTTACTAAGGGGAGATCTCGCTAATCCCTGAGTGCCAGAAGAGGAATCAGAAGTTAGAGATCACTCGCGGGCTGTCTCCACAGAGCACCTACTCCTAAAGGGGCACTACTGATGCAAAACTATAGGAGCATAAGGTTTCTTGAAACTCAGTATTTTAATTATTAGAAAATTATACTATATATCGTGGCTTCTTACCAGCGGCTCTCGAGGCGCCACATTTTCACTTCCTGGATTAGAGCTTGGCTGCAAAGAAAAATAAAAACAAAAGTAAGATCGCAGTGCCACCCAATGGACATCAAAAAAACCAAAGGTGCGCCCTTCTCAAGCAACACACACAACTAGTTCTCATAGTTCTCACCAGTTTTCCATACCGCAGAGTGCTCTGTGGTGGGCTACCTGTAAGAAGCAGCCCGAAAAAGAGCCTGTATTTGCCAGTGAACACAGAGAGACTGTTTCTGGGTTTACTGTCACGGCACCTCAAGAAGGCTGCATTTAGCTTAGGAGGGCCCTGGCAGCTGAGCAGCAGGGGCTGGGGACCATCACAAAATCCGCAGCAATAGGAGAAGTCCACAAAAGCCTTGAAGTGAAAGCCAAACTTCCCTTTTGCCGTGTCTCCCCCGCCACTGACCAGCAAGAGCAGAGCAAAAGTGGAGAACCAGATTCAGCCACAAGGGGGCCCCAGTTGCCCACACTCAGCATTTTCTCTGGGCATCTATTTGGAGCCAAGGAAGCAGCAAACTATGGACACTGGTTCCTATTTATCACCTGTCACTAAGAATACCAATCCCCAGTAGTAAAGAAAGCCGAGTTTAAATCCTTTTGGTAAATAAGCTAGTGACAAGCTGACAGATAAGCAGAGCAACCCACAGCCAGGCAGCATGTGGCCCACTCGCCTGGCCCTAGTCTGTTTCCTTCTCTGGATCTCTCCCCTCACCCTCACACTTACCTTCGACCCTTGGCTGATCTGGCCAAAATTCAGAGGAAGGGAGAGAGAGAGAGACAGAGACAGACAGACTGGGAGGAAATCTACAAATCTCCAAAGGAAGGAAACAAACAGCCTGAGAGAGTTATGATTAGTTTACTGTTACTGATGTTCAAACCAATTTCCAATTATCTACAGATAATATCCAGACAAATGAGCTATCTGTGGGTCTCAGGAGCCAGCCTCCAAACTCCTCCCAGCTAGTCAGATGGCAAGTGCCAAGCCTCCTGGGAAAAAGGATAGAAGGTGGAAGAGGAGAAAGTCCAGTCCACAGAGGGTCCCCAAAGATTTCCTCATGCCCAGTTGCTACCACACAGTGGGCACAGGGCACAGTGGCCAAGGACTCTGCTGGAAGGACTCTATCTCCTCATTCAAAGTCCTGTCTCAAGAGCCCCTTCTTCTGCCAGGACAAGAAGGTCAGCCAGCATGAAACTAACTAGAAAGTCTCAGAGAACCTGAGCACGCTTTCCCTTTCTCCCTTCCCCACTGTCCCTCCCTCCTAAGGCTCCAGGCATCAGTAAGCTCATGCTTTCAGATCTCTAGCCCAGACACCTCTGAGTTCTACACCCAACTGCCTTCCTGCCTCCACTTGGACTTAACAAAATCCCATAACAGATTCATAATCCTCTCCCTCCGCCACATTTGTACGCTTCCACTGTTCCCTGTCTGGGTGAATGTCACAATCTTCCACCAAAATACGCAAGCTAGAATCCAAAAGGCCATCCCTGACAGCTCTTCCCCTCACTTGCCAGAGTAAGTCCTGCCAATACGCCTTCCTAAATATCCATGGAATCAATCATTCCTAAATATCCATGGAATCAATCATCCACTTCTCTCCATTTCTTCTGTCATCACTTAGGTCCAAGCTTCCAAAATCTCCTGCCTGGACCACTGCAATAGCCTTCTAATCAGCTCACGCACATCCACGCTGGCTCTCTTCTAATTCATTTTCCACACAGAAAACAGACTATCACCTCAAAACGATAATCTGATCTCATCCGCCGACCCGCCCCAGTAAACATCAACAACGCTAATACAGAAAAGCCTTCCCAGCTTGGCCACGCGTCTCCTCTGACTACATATCAGGTCTGCGTAGCACCACGAACCCCAGCTCTGCGCAGAACAGACATACTGGCCTTTGCTTCCTCTGTCAGTGGGACTTTGCACCAGGTATTCCCTCCCTTCCCTCTGACAATCTCATTCATCCTTCAGATTTCAGTTAAGTCACTTCTTTGGGGAAGCATTCCTTCTCTGACAGCCATGACACGATCAAATCTCCCTAATATACACTCACACCGTATACCTCTCCTTCAAGGGCTGGGCAGAACTACAACTTTAAGTGTGTGATATCCAATTGATGTTTGTGTCCCTCGCCAGATTATAAACTCCACATGGGCAGAAACTGTCTGTGTTTGCTCATCACTGTATCCCTGGGGCCTAGGACAGTATCAGGCATAGATTAGGCCTTCCATAGATATTTGCTGAATGAATGAATGGTCAATAAAGAGCAGAACAGCTTTGGTTTGAATGGGTTATATAAAGTTCATTACCTTCCTGAGGGCTTCCTTCACTCCATTTGGTAAATACTAAGTGCTAACATTTATTTAGCTCCCTCTTCATTTCATTCTCATAATAAATGTATGAAATTATTGCTGATGAGGAAACTGAGTCAAGGGAGGTTAAATAACTTGCCCATGATGACTCAGGTAGTAACTGGTACTAAGATGATTTGAGCCCTTCTACTTAATCAAAATAATCGAGTTTTGTTTAGACTACATTTTATTAAGCAACAACCTTAATACTACCCCATAAATAATAATGTAGGTTATTTGACTAGATGAAACAAACTAACACAAACAGCTTTAATATTTAGGAAGCCTGATTCTGATTTAAACCAAAACTTTCTTCCTGAGATACAACTAATCACTGAGGCATTACCTCCAAGGAACTTCCCTTAAAATTAGTTCATCCCCTGAATAGCTAATGTTTGCCAGAGGAAAAACTTTAAGCAATATACAGTACCAAGTAAGTCTCTTTCATCGTATACCCTTCTGTACCTTTCTAAACTGTGAGCCATGTAAATATATTCTGCTTTAAAAAATTAAATACTAAAAAAATTTAAAAGGAAGCTTCCCTTTCATCCTAACAGCCTCCTCTTCCTTGGGGACACAGCACTGATGCTGGCTCCTTATATATTCTTCCAGGGATATTCAAGGCGTATAAGAAGCACACATGTGTGTGCATATCCCCACCAAGGAATTTAAACAGCAACACTCTCCAAATTCTTCAAACCTCAGCTTCACAGAGCCTTCTGGGGTCTCAGCACACCAAAACCCAACCTCCAAACTCAATCTCGGAGGCTGCTTAGAAAGGAACAAGCATTTCCGCACCCGTATTCCAACTCACGGTACTGTCTGAGGTCGGTCAGACCTTACTAGTGAACTCACGGAGGACTTCTCGCCAATCTGGGAATTGCCCAATATGATTACATTCTAGATGATTTGCCAGCTCGTGTTGAAATACCTGTAATCTAAAATGGACCATCCCGATCTCCTGTCTGTGTCCTTTAGAAAACTATTTCTTCATGACCAAGACAGCCTTCATTCCTCTTTACTGCTCTGCACGTTGATTTCCTTGATAATACCATCTGAAATTCTTCATTATATAACTAGTTTATTATCTGTCTATCCTTTAAGTTCCTTGAAGGCAGGCACTTTACCACCTTAGTGAAGGCAGATCTTTAGCATTTAGAATGTCACTTGTACTCAATAAGTATGGGCTTAATTAATTTTTTTAATTAAAAAAAATAAACCAAAGGAACCACTTTATATACATAAGCCAAAATGAAGCAAGCAAAGGACCATCACAGTGTCTTTCCCTGGAACATTTCACCTACGACAAACCACAAATCTGGCCACTCTCAAAGCAATGTCACGACCCAACGGTTCTCAACCCTGAGGCATAATCACCCCCACAGGGGCATTTAAAAATGTGTGGAGGTGTTTCTGGCTGTCACAGTGACCAGGGAGTCCCATCGGCATTTAGAGGGCAGAGGCTTGGGAGGCTGAATGTCCTGCAATGGACACCATGAAGAACTATTCCATGCAAACACCAAGAGGACCCCTGGGAGAATCCTGACCATTCCGCTTCCTCATGAGGAGAAGGAAGACAGACTCCCATCTTTTACATGATGCTGCTTCAAAAGAGGGCAAAGGGGGCTTCCCTGGTGGCGCAGTGGTTGAAAGTCCACCTGCCGATCCAGGGGACACGGGTTCGTGCCCCGGTCCGGGAAGATCCCACATGCCGCAGAGTGGCTGGGCCCGTGAGCCATGGCCGCTGAGCCTGCGCGTCCAGAGCGTGTGCTCCCCAACGGGAGAGGCCACAGCGTGAGAGGGCCCAGTACCGCAAAAAAAAAAAAAAAAAAAAAAAGAGGGCAAAGGTCTGAGCGGGCAACTGCTTGTCAGAAGCTGAACTAAGCTCACACAGGTCCATGAGTCTCATCAGGCCAGCTTTTGTGAAAGTCCAATACTTCTCAAACACCTGCCCCTACATCGACCCCCTTTTAAGTGGTCAAGTTTATTTTCCAGCCTGAAACAAATCCCTACAAATTAAATTCCAACTTAATCCTGAAAAATCTTGACAGGGTGGTTTATGGTTTTAAAAATAATAATAGTAATAGTAAGGTTTAGAAATCACCAGCTGAGGATCCGAAGTCAGGATCCTCAGAGGCTGGAATGCAGAGAGCAGGCAGGAGGAAGAGAAAAAGCATCAGAACGCTTTAAAAAATAAACAGGCAAACAAAAAAAGGCCACAGTGGCAGGGAGAGAAATGTGTCAGTTTGGTAGAGACAAAAGGCGCTCTCACTCCTGCTGTCCAGGCACTGACCTTCCCCAGCCAGGAGGTGTGCACACATGCTGACCTTGATGCACAGCAAAGGTCAACTGCACACACAGCTCAGATCTGAGCAACCAGAAAAACACTCAGTTCTAGCAGCGCTCATCCTACACCTGCCAGCGACTGTGTAGCTCTGGGTATGTCCTAGGCAAGATATGGCCTATAGTCCTTTGCTGGGAAGAATAAGATTCAATTCAACAAAAGTTGTTGAAGAGGCACCGGTATAGTGGCAAGTGCATGACCTTTGGCATTAATAACTGAGGGGCTGTGGGTATACTGGTCAACCTCTCTGAACCTCAGTTCCTCATCCACGGGAATAATGGGAATAATACCAACACCCCACATTCAGGATGAGATGAGGATCATG